AAGACCAGCCTCATCAAGCGCTACGTGCACCAGAACTTCTCGCCCCACTACCGGGCCACCATCGGGGTGGATTTCGCCCTCAAGGTGCTCAGCTGGGACGCCGAGACGGTGGTGCGGCTCCAGCTGTGGGACATCGCGGGTGAGCGGGCTGGCGATGGGGAGGGGGGGGACTGATCCAAGGGCAGAAAGGGACGGGGAAAGGCAGGATACGTCCCTTTTACTGCCTTCAGAAAGGAGCCCCCGACCCCCAAATAGCCACGGGGCTCCGATTTTCCATGTATTGCTTCCGTGTCTTAACATCACTTTCCGAAGAGGCAGAAGCGTCTGCAGTCTGCTGTGGCGAAACGCATCTGAAATAGTGGGCTGCCCTCTTTAAAAACTTCCATTAAAGTTACTAGTCCCCAAGACTCTTCGGTACTTTTGATATATTCCGATGGTATTTGTAGTAGTATATAAATATTTCTCTCTCTGTAGGTTAAAACACACACATTTCAATAAAACCGTAACTTTTTAAAGTAATGTACATTTTAGGTATTTGCAGAACATGTGCTTAATATACCTGTTGTTTTAAAGTAGTGATTTTTTTTAATTTATTCACACACCAGACAATTTAATATAAGAAGGGTTTAATCCAAATGTTCTTCCAGTTTGAGTAGACCCATCAGAAGCAGAGGAATTTGGGTGAGTGATGACAAGTGAATCCCATTCATTTCAGAATGAGTCCTATTCTAATTGGGACTGAAACGGGATTAAGCCCAAGAGTCTTTAAAAGTAAGGTATCTCTGTTCAGAAGCTTTGTTCAAACTCCAGGAAGGGATGCTTAAAGCGTGTTTATTTGGCATCCCATTACTTTTCACAGGGGCTTTTGGATGCCGTGTGAGAGTTGTGTAAGACTTCACTTTAAATCTCACTCAGGAGACATGTTCCAGATTAGGAGTGCAATCTAGGTGAAATTGTGGCGGATTGGAACAAGTTTTCTTTGCAGCCCAACGCAGTGTAATGCGGTTCTATCCCAATGTATAGTCCGAAGGGAGGTTCACTCAGAAGCTAGTTTCTGAATTGTACTGCACAATCTCATCCATGCTTCCGTGGAAATCCGAGTCATCCCAGGAAGATTTATCCTAATGTGTGTGCCGTGGAATTGCAGTTTTAAGCATTTTCAGAAGCTATGAAAAAACTCTTCTCAACTCTGAGTGTAATGAAAACAAAGTTATAGTGGCAGAAGTCAATGGAATACGGTGGTGATTACTTCAAGCAGGTAGGTATAGCACTGCAGTGTTAGGCACATCTCTGAATTTCAGTGAGAATTACAGTGGACCCTCGACGTACAGACGGCTCTAGTGTTAAGCACATCTCTGAATTTCAGTGAGAGTTACAGTGACTTACAGACGGCTCGATTTACAGACTTTTTGAGTTACAGACTTCTCTGGCCGCAAAATTTAGGTTGGACTTGCAGCCTGAGAATTGACCTACAGACCAGAAAAAAAAAACCCAAAATGGAACAAAAATGGAACAAAAACTGCCAGTTACGGGATTAATTAGTTTTCAATGCACTGTAGGTCAATGGAGACTCGACCTACAGACTTTTCAACCGTTCCAATACGGATTAATTCCGTAAGTAGAGGGTCCACTGTATAAACTGAATGTGAATCCTGCAATTGAGTGCATGTAAATGGATAGCTGAGTGGTTTAGGTTTCTGGCTACGGAGCCAGAGTTTGGGCGTTGGATTCCCCACTGTGCCTTCTGGGAGAAAAGCCAGCCTGGGTGGCCTTGGGCAAGCTGCACAGTCCCAGGGAACCCCAGAAGAAGGGAATGGTAACTACTTCTGAGTATTCTTTACCTAGAAAATGCTGGGAAAACTGGAATCAGCTTGATGCCACACAATTTATTACTATCATTCCCTTCACATAGGCTTGAAAAGTGAAGCTGTTGAACTAGAATCCGTATTTGTAGAGTTATCTTGTGTGATCCGCTTGTAGGCTGTATTCCCTTTTCTGTATGCAAAAAAACACCCCCCAAAAAATAGAAGATGGAAATCTAGACAATACGGATATTCACGCGGATCCTTGTCTGTTGTGCCTTGTAAGTGGAGTGGATTTAATTTAAATCAAATCAATTAAAATCAATTAGTACACAGATTGCACATAATTGTGCTGGTGGGTGTATCTACATTACAGAATTATAGCCGCGTGATATCCCTTTTGCTATCATGCCTCCAGATTGTTATTATTTATTAAGATTATTAAAACAGAATACAGTAAAACAACACCCTAAGAACGGAGACAGGACAGTTTTGGCAAACACATTGAACAATGCCACTAAAATGTTCTTTTAAAAAGCACAGTTTTATGTAGCCTCTTGCAGGTAAAGGGCTCATGCTGAGAAGGCACAAATTTTGGTGGAAATAAAAAATTTTGTGCCCCCACTCCCATAGCTGCTCAGTTCTTGATGTTCACTTGATTGCCCCTTGGGTGTGTTAAACTTCTTCCTTGTTTCTCCTCCTGCTCCCCTCCCATACACACACACACTTATTTGTAACAAAAATCCTGGAAAACTCTTTCAAAGCAGTACTTAAAAGCGTTTAACATGAGCCATCATTCCACCCATTCTTTTGAATTGCTTTAAAAAAGAGTGATTACTGAACACCTCGAACTGCTGCAGCTCAGTTGAAGCTCTTCCAAAAAAACTAGCTGAGTTTAGAGCAGCTTAACTTGAAGCTCTTCCAGAAAAACTAGCCGGGTTTAGAGCAGCTTAACTTTAGCGGGATCTACCCAACTCTTCTTTTTAAAAAATAAACATCAAGTGCTAAAGTGAATCAGGTTAAAACCAAACCGTTTAAATCTTGTCCTCTTTTGGATTTCTGATTCACGTATCATCCATTTCCCCCCTATCTAATGGTAGAAATAAGGTGAGTTTTTTTTAAAAAAAGAATGGCTTCCTTTGAATGCATGCTTATACCAAGAATGGCCTGCCAAATTATGTGGATTTATTTCCTTTTTAATAATGATAGTAGAGCAACAGTGTTATGAATCATCATGTGCTGCCAATTCAATTCTGACTTATGGCGACCCCTTTAAGGTTTCCCAGTAAAGAATACTTACAAGTATTCTAAGCCCAAGGCCACACAGGCTGGCTGTTCCCTAAAAGGCACAGCAGGGAATCAAACTCCCAACTTCTGGCTCCACAGCCGCAAACCTAACCTCCTTGAACTATCCAGTTATTAATAAGAACCAAATCAATATACAGTAAGACCTCTCCCATCCACAGGATCAGTATCCACTAATTCACTTATGCACTGCCTGAAAATGCTAAAACACAGAAATACTGATTTATATTTATTTATTCTATTTTATTTGTTCGATTTATATCCCACCCATCTGGTATATTCTACCACTCTGGGCGGCTTACAGAATATCAAAAACAATTTTAAAAATATATATGTATTTCTAGGATGTATTTATGAGAACTGGCGACTAGAGAGACCATAGAGGTTATAGCATTTGCTACTTCTCCAGTTTTCAGCATCCACAGGGAGCCTGGAACACAATGAAGGAAGGAAGGAAGGAAGGAAGGAAGATCAGTTTTTCAAAAAAACCTTTAATATAGATACAGATTGCAATTTCAGCTTTTTTAGTAGGCTACTTGCTCATTTATTTTTACATTCTTTCACTCATACCCCACCGACAATTTTTAATTAAATATCAGCTCTTGCTTTTTATGAGTTCTAAGACAAAACACATGCTAGATCTTTTTCTGTGTATTCGCGAAGGCTTTCACGGCCGGGATCTAATGGTTGTTGTGGGTTTTTCGGGCTCTTTGGCCGTGTTCTGAAGGTTGTTCTTCCTAACGTTTCACC